ACTGAAACTAACCGACCCTGCCAACAGAAGGAACGTATGAGAGCAACTATAGAAGATATGGAAGAATTCATAGCATCAATTTCTCTGTTGTGACTTCAGATAAGAACACTAAGACTGGAAGGCCTAATGAATTACTGGAGCGTCATTCCTGTTTGTTGAAAGGGTCCTGATAGAACCGATAATATGTTAAAGTACAGATTTGAGATGTCCGATGATCTCAATTTGGTTGTCAACATAAGGTGTGATAATTAAAGAAAAATTTTTTACAGGATCTGACCATTTGCTAAGCCGCTCAACAGAAATTTCAAGCGTCTGCAACATGCTCGACGGAAAGGCCTTTGAAGAAGGCGGAGGTCGAAATGTTATCCATAACAAAGAAGTTTCGTGTTAGCTTAACAAACGAAAAAGAAACCTCTTTACCAATGGACCAATCTCATGCCGTTTAGAGATAGAGTCACATTCCGCTAATATACACATTAAAACGTAGAAGCATGAAATTAAGTGATTTAAATCTTGCTTGATAGACTGATACACATAGATTTACCAGTCTGTTGGTATTGGATCAGTTGTAATAAACCACATGGGAAAAGTTATTCGTTCAACGAATGCATCTATATCGAAAACTGATGTCTCGTCAGTTGATAGAGTTCCCCAGAGAAAGAATTGATCGGTACGTATAGGACGAATAGAAAGCATTTGTTCTTGTTCAGAAGGACATTCAGCAAAAGTTGAAGCGAGGACAAATGGTGTCATAACGGAATTCCGTGAAAGTAGTCAAATGGAATGGTAAAAGAAACATTAATAGACATGACTTTTCTTTCGAGGCTTAAACACATTCATCTATTCCTTTAGTTGATCGTTCAAACATGCACACTAAGAACATTGCGGGGACTACGCAGAAAATCGAGATGAACGATTTCATAACATAATTGTAGACGAGCTTTCTTCAAGTTATCAGTGTCTTTGCCCTGAAGCACGATAATCTTGAAAAGAATGATAGAGGTTCGACTCAATAAAGACATCTCATTCGATGTTACGAGCAGGACATTGCAATTCTAGATCAGCTGCAGTTTTTGCCAAACGATTCAATAATGGATACAACCAGTAGAAAAATGTTTAGATTGGTTATGCCGAAATGGTGATGAAAGTGTAAACAGTAGCGATTGTAAATTATAATTATCAAAAATATATTACTTCGTTTTGTGCCAGCTAAAATAATACCTACTGTTGTATTGTCACTATGAAGACAGATCATGTTCAATTGCAATAGATCAACCGTTCTCTTGTGTAAAAGGACCCCGATGAGTGAGAATACTTCATCCGACAGGTGCTTCAATCCACTAAACCACTAACCCTTTTATTCACTGCCTTTTTCTTTTTAATGGCAGGGTATGTTGCGAAATATAACTCGTATATAATGCTGAGATATTTGCAAAACTCCGGACCGCAGGTGTCTGCGGTGTGGAACCAACGCGCTATTGTCCTTATCGGGGAGTAGCGCACTTCACCACCACATCCGGGTCCTTCGTTTTGCCTGTCTCTCAGCTAGTTCTATTGACCTTTTGCCATCAACAATCAGGCAAAACGAAGGACCCGGATGTGGTGGTGAAGTGCGTTACTCCCCGATAAAGACAATAGTGCGTTCGTTCCTCACCGCAGACACCTGCGGTCCGGAGTTTTGCAAATATCCCAGCATCATATACGAATAACAACAACAAAATTTTCTAACAAACTCGTGTATGCTTGTGAGTTATCTGTGTGGCCTTTATCGTTTGCTAACCCATTGATTGTCGAGTGACTTAAGCGGGCTCCAGTAACTTTTTCTTCATGTCGCGTGCAATGGTAACCTAGTGGGTTCGTCTCACTCTAGGGACTCGTTGAGCATCATCTTTCTTCTAGTGTTTTCGTGAAGAGCCCTAACTATTATGCCGGTGATCTTCCTGCTGCGCGTTGGACTCCCGAGGAATCCGATTGGTAACACTTCTTGCCCACTGGTTGTCGTTTATACGCATTTTGCATCCGATAGAGTAGATTTCCAACATTTTCGAATGTACAAGTCTCTTATGTTTGATCGCTTACACGGATAAAAATTCTGATTCCTTCTCTCACTGGAGTGATGAGAGATACTCCTAGCATCGTCCTTTAGGCAGCGCTTCCTACAACGCTAAATGATCGTTCATCCAGTTTATCTAGCAATCTGCAACGGGTCTACGACGCGTAGGTTGAGACATGAGGAACTGTTCAGTCGAAATGGTGCGGCACGCAGTTGGGTTCTTTGTTCTCTTCACTGCATTCTCGATGCTCTTGAAAGTTTTCCAAGCCGCTCGCTTCCTCCTGCTGAACTCTGGTGCTGAGTCGCTCAACATATTGACTTCTTAAACTAGATAAACGTTCCTAGAGCATTCGGAGATACACATTCGGTTGAACGTGAACGGGGCATACGAAACCAATCCATTCTTAATGAACAAAGTATTTGTGAGACTTTATCGACGACCAATCTTTCCAAGTGCGTTATCAAAGTGCGCTAGTACTCGCACCGTCTGGCTAATACGTGATGATATAAGAACGACATAAACTGCAAAGCGAAGATGGTGTAATTGCCACCATCGACTTTCACTCCCATGCTGTTCTATTCCAATGCTTCGGTGACGATTTAAAAGGTGCAGCAATTGATTTTTGTCGATGTTAACATGTCTTTGGAATAGTGATATCTTGGCTATGAAATTTCTACCCAGTTCACAAAGAATTTTTACATACTGAGTAGCGACACTCTGTTGCTGTCAAGAGCTTTCATGACTGCTTCCATCATCGACACCATAACTACATCACCTGGTTGCTTAATGGCATAACAAGGCACATTCTCTACATAGAGAGAGAGCAGTCTTTTTGTATTTTCATAAGTGAGTCTTTTTTACTTGTGGATGTAGCCCATCGTACAGAATCTTTTTCCGAAGCCTATTTTCTCACATGGTTGTCTTTCGGTAAGAATTCCGGCAATCTTTTTAAAATGACTCTAGTGAAGAGTTTACAGACGACAGACAACATGCAAACTGGGTAAAAGTTGCCGATATCGTAGACGTTTCTCTTTCTGCACAACAAGACTGTCTTTATGGTGTTCCATTGAAGAGCAACACTGCATTCTGATAGATAGCATGTTAAGAACAATGCGGTGTGTTGATGAGGACTGGTGGAAGGTTCTTCAGGTGTTCAGATCTTATCCTGTCCGGAACTGACGTTCTATTCATCACCGACGAAATAGCATGTCGCATTTCGGAAGGGAGAACTGGTATTACGACATATCCATTCTTTATTTCATATCAGAGCATGAGAACGTGGCTGTTAAAGAGATCCGAATAGTAATTGTGAATGATTCTCTCCACTACGTTTCTGGAAGCTGTAATTGTTTCGTCTGGACGTCGAAATGCAATCATTTTGGTGTTATAACTAGCGCAGCTTCGGTGGGCTTTGAGAATGCCTTCCCATAATGTGCAGCTTCTAGCAGAAATGTTGCTCTTCTCTCTTCTCGATCTTTTATCGCCTCTCTGCATTGTTTTGGTAGCGTACCATCTGGAGTGTTTCTGGTGACAGACGCCTCTTGGTGACTTTCGAACTCAGCTTTCATAGCGCTAACGTGAAGATGTTGAACGAGCCGATCGCACTCCTCGTTTATGTTGTCAAAGACGGCTGCTTCTCAATAGCCGACTAATAATCCACATAAATATTTAACTACAGTTTTCGGATTTTGTCTTTTAAATTTACAGGCCTTCTCTCCTTTGCCAGAAAAATAGTATCTTGTACAAAGGAGGGGATGATCTGATCCCTTGTAGAATTTTGGAATTACAGCTACATACATTGGGCAAAACCTTCGATTTACTATGAAGTGGTCTATTTGGCTATGACACTCTCCACTGGAAGATTCCGACATTCAGCGTTGATAATGGGGCTTCTGAAATTGTGAGTTGCCGTGAATGGTCTTGGTCGTTATGACAAACTCGCACAGCCGCTCAGCTTGGTAATTGCATTCTAATCCGTGGGTTCTAATGTGACGCTCTTCTTGGTCCAACCTTAACATTGAAATGTCCAATGATGACTTTGTAGAATGCAAAGTCTTCTCTGCAGAACTTTTCTAAGTCCATATAGAACGTTTCAACTTTCTTTTCTCATAGCTTGCTGTCGATACGCAGATGATGAAGACTGTCAAAGCCGCAAGTGAACCATATGAACGCAAGTTAACCGTAAACGTCCAATTCGGGTGGTTAGTTATGAGCTTTTGAATATAGGAAAGTATTTGTCACAAATCATTTTCAAAAAAGCATGGACGTGAGTAGGATAGCATAACGATACTGCTTACTAATTCGCGGAAGGCTCTGGCTCAACCAACCCCTGGCCAACCAAGCCTGCCATCGCTCCCAAAATTAGGAGCAGGCTTATTTAGCAAGCTCACTTCGATCCACCAGCGCCAAGGTAGTCGCCTGAAGACCTGGGAACGTTCCAGCGTAACTACCTCACGATTTTGACTTATTATTTTCTGTCTACTCCTTCTAATGGCAGCGTATATTGCGAAATATGACTTCAATGATGCTGAAATACTTGCAAAACTCCGGACCACATGTGTCTGCGGTGGGGAACGAACGGGCTATTGTCCTTTCCTGAGAGTAACGCGTTCACCACCACACCATGCGAGTCCTTTGTTTCACCTGTCTCTCAGCTAGTTCTATCGGTCTTTGCCATCACCAATCAATCACCTGTCGATGGTACCATTACCATTAGACGCAAATTCGAAGATATTCGTAGATGTTGTGAAGAGAATGGACACTGGAACTTGCATAAAATGTGTTGGGACCATTTAAACAAGTGAAAAACAAGCGAATTGTAGAAAATGTAAATTATACAAGTTGTGGATAGCAGAATTTGTACATCATATGTAAATAGTTAGCATATGCACAGTGGACACTTAGCTTTTTTACAGACAAATAGTTTTGCTAACGACGATTTTATACTTAATTTACATCTACACAAGACTTGTCCACTTCATCGTAACGAAAATTCTCTAAGTTGTCAAATTTTAGCATTGAGGTACAACGGAGATAATTAAATAGCTTCCTTAGTAACCATAGTTACTACGGTGGGTGCTCTCCGTCAATAACAGTATCTCACCACGAAACGAACTTTTCGGAAAAGGTATTTTTCTGAACTATTAAATGTAAAGCGTATGGTTTCTCGGACGATGCCTAGCACCAATATTTGGGATGAATTAGGCATCTAGTGAATATAAAAAGCACCGCACACCATGTGTGAGGAAAACACTCGAAGCGAAAAGAAATTATATACACATGTGTATATAAATGTATATATGTATATATACATATATATATGTATAGTTAGAAAGAACACGTATATATATTAAAGCGGGAAAAAAGATTCGACAACGTATAGATCGGAAGGCCTAGTTAATTAAGAACTAATGATTCAGATGAAACAGGATGGTTTTCCGATTATAGAGACCACCTCGTTCGTGTAATGAGTGTTCAGTAAACGTGGGACAACATGAAGGAGAATTAGACAGAAGAAGGAGAGCAGCACAGCGACCAACTAACAGACCGAAAACCCCGCGCTCACTTTATCGATTCAACAGTCCTCATGCGAATTTGCCGACCCCAGTGGGATGGAAGGCTTGGTGAGCCTGGTGGGAATGATCGAACCAACAACGGTCGATCCAGTGTGTATTGTAAAGCAACTCTAACCACTGCCCTATAGACGTCACCATGATTTATGTTTAACCCGGTCACGAATGAGTTGAAAGTAGGGTTTGGAAAATTTTCTGAATACATTATAAACGTAACTACATTATTCCTAGTAAAACAATTATTGAATTTTCCATAATTTTTTAAAAACAAATCCAAGTACCTCCTCCCGTAAAGCCTTCTCGTTCTTTAGAGCACCTCCTATTCGCGCTGTGTCCTCCACAAATGTTCTTGTCAATTCCTCTTTCTCCAGTGCAGATTTCTGGAATTGTATTCAATTATCAACCAGTTTCAGGGATTGAATCAGATATATGACGTACTACAACTAAAATTTCAAAAAAAAACTCCATTACTACGACCGTTGTGGGACAATTCGCTAAAACTTCTTTTGATAAGCACACATGATTTGATTATTACGCTCGTCAGTCAGAAAAGTTTACGCCTTGGCGGATTCTGCCTTCTTCCTTCTTTTGCTTCTATAAAGGCGAAATCCGTTGAATCGTCAGTTTTCGTGAATAAAGAGTATAACAACAGCTTCGTCTGTGCTTATCAAGAAGATAACGAATCATTGATCAACGCCGACCAAAATGGAAAGTTAGTCTTGGAAATTATTTCAGAACAGTTAACCGATAGAACACCTTCGCGCTGATTTCTGCTGCTTCCAGTTTGGTCTTAAGAAGTTTGATTTCAACGTCCTTGGCTTTGTTGTACTCTTGCCAATATGTATCTTTCTCTTTATACTGAAAGGAATTTCAATTTTTAATACCTTAAAGTTCTAGAGTCAAAAAGTTTTTAGATACATCGACAACTGATTCCCACCTGTTCCTGGATTGCAACCATACGAGACTCATATTCTTTCCCCAATTCTTTCAATTTCTCAGCCAATCTTCCGTTATCAGCCGCCAGTGCATCGGAGCGTTCTCGGCCCTCATTCATGCTTGTTTCGATGGCCTTAACGGCCATTTCCACTTACGTAAGTAATAGTTATTGGTAATATTTATAACAAAAAGTGTGCAGCCGTAACGATAACACAATTAACTCTCTTACCCGTATCTAACACAATTGCTCGCGTGCATTGACAGCAATTCACACTCTTCCCAGCTGTTCATTTTTCTCCAAAGAGAATTTTTCATAATCTTTTTGAATGTAACAGACAGGTTATCAAATATGGATGCCTCAAATATGATCTCTGAAACACTATCTCCTACATTTAATAGACGTCACAAGATAAAACCCTTCTCGGGCGAATTTGGAGACATTTTACAGTTAAAGCAAGGTGGTGAATCACTGACAAAGCTGTATAATGCAACCGTAACAAATAGGACTCTTCAATGCATAAAGCCCATCTTTGTAAAGACTGCATACTCTCAAGTGTTACCTCTACATTCTTTCATTGATGTTATAGATGTTGCACTATTTATATTGCATGATACAATATTAGAAATTAACACATCCTACATAATATTTGAAATCAAGCTTTACGGTTTAAAACTTGCAGTCTCTTGAAAACCCTAAAGACAAAGTCAGTAAGTCGACTCATTATGAACAACTTCCCTCATCCATCACATTTCGATTATGGACGAAATATAAGTTAGTCAAGAGCGTCTACTTCATTCTTACTTTAGACCCAGAAAAACTGGATCACAAAACAGAACAGCTGCTCCAATAATCGCTCAGTCGTGGCAGTAATCTAATAGTACAGACCAATAAATCTTTTCACTGTTTTTAACTTAATATTTACTGCCTACTCTTTTTAACGGCAGGGTATATATTACGAAATATAACTTCAATGATGCTGAGATATTTGTAAAACTCCGGACCGCAGGTGTCTGCGGTGGTGAACGAACGCGCTATCGTCCTTTCCTGGGAGTAACGCGTTCAGCACCACACCATACGGGTCTTTCGTTTCGCCTGTCTCTCAGCTAGTTCTATCGATCTTTTGCCATCAGCAATCACCTGTCAGCGGGATTGATCTGGGGAGCCCAAACCAGCAACGAACCCAATTAAGCTGAGGCCGCAGTTATAATCACAATTTTAACTTATTATTTAGTCCTACTCTTTCAAACGACAGGGTATATATTGCGAAATATAACTTCAATAATGCTGCGATATTTGCAAAACTCCGGACCGCAGGTGTCCGCGGTGGGGAAGGAATGCACTATCGTCCTTACCTGGGAGTAAAGCGTTCACCACCACACCATGCGGGTCTTTCGTTTCGCCTATCTCTCAGCCTAGTAAAAAGTGGTAAGAGAGGGTCAACCGAAGTGAACCGCATGCACTGATTTCAATGCATCGGTAACAGGCGAGAAATCAGGTGTGCTCACAAATATATTAAAGGAAATTAATCACATCTAGTACGGTTACCCAATTCATCTACTCAATAACTCCACTGATCCTTAACTGAAGTTTCCATCCCCTTATTAGCTCCGTTTTCTTAATAGCTTGTTCCATCCTCTTTCAAACGATTAGTTGTTCGCTATTTACTTATTGATAAGGAGTGAAAAAGTGCATTTAATTCTACCTTTAAAGCAGAACGAAGTTGTTCAACGGCTTCTTGCCGTTCATGTTCAAGGAGACGAATTTTATTCAGACTATCATCTCGAACCTAAACATGATTAGAAACTGAAAAAGATATGCCATTTTACTGGAAATCCCACGAAGTGAAATTGAAAAATTCCCGCCTGCTTATTCATTTTCTGCAACTCTCGACAAAGTTCTTCGAGCTTCCCTTTGGCATCTTCAGTTTTTAGTAGGATAAGATTAGTTTTTTCCAATTTCCTTTCAAGTGTCAGGTTCCTTTTTGTGAGGCTATCTACCTTAAAGGAAACGTTATGACAGATATAAATAATATAAAATGGTAAATTTTAAGATGCTAACAGTCAGGGTTGTCTGATAGAGATGCACAGCTTTATTCGGATTCCTTATTCTGGTTATAAAATTTTTGCAGGTCTTTATTTGGCCTGCATGATAATTCTGCCAGGGGTAATCAATGGATAATTCGATGTGATAATCTTCTCACACAAAAGATTATCAATTGCTCGAAGAAAATGTGCGGCTGATTACCCAATCGGTGGCGATTCAAAAAAAAAGATTGCGCGATCAAAATTGTTACCTCATTACACTGTGTCACGGTGTTCAGAGTTGAGAGTAGAGAGAGTAGTATGCAATAAAAATTGAAATAAAAGAACAGAGCTGGGGTTCTGTTCAGTACATCTCGAGCTGATGGTAAACTAATCATAGAATCCAAATCTGTTAAAGGATTCGCTGTTGTTTTGATCCACAAGGATGGCGGTTGTCTATGCTGCAGTCGACCTGGGAGAGACTGGCTAGGCTGATCTCGGGACTCCAGGTAACCACAATAGCTAAATCAGCAAAATTCCGAAAAGATGGAGATTATGTTTAATCAGCCGCACATTTCCTTGGGGCAATTGATAATGCCACAACCAGTGAGAACTGGAAATCCAAATAACCAAAAATACATGGGGAGGTAGCGCAGTGGTTAGTGAAATCGTCGATCAGGAAGCAAAGGCCCTAGTTCGATCCCCTCCCCAGCGCTCTTCTCCAATCCACATGGGAACGCCTTAGCACGGCTATCTCCATGATTTTAAGGAGAATCAAGTTGATCACACCATTATGTGAGATTCATGGAGAAGTCGAAATCCTCAAGCACCAGCCGAAACAATACGCTAAATGTTTGAAGACCACTGTGAGGGCTGAATGCTAAGAAATGAATCCAATGCAAGAAGTGCTGGGGTCAGCAGATGTGATGATGAGCCATGTGAAGTAAAAAAAGTGTGTATATGAATGTATATATGCACGTATATATGTTGTGTATATATTTGTACGTGTATATGCATATGTACATGTACACATATGTATATGCATGTATATGTACTGGCAATAATTTAAGCGCAAAAAAACCCCAAATTAAAAAGTGTATTATACAGAATATCAAAAATAGCTGAGTACTTCTTCTTTTCTAATTTTCCACAACCAACCTGAGCAGCTTTCTCTTTCAATTTAGCATATCGCTCCTCGCTCTCAGCGACCCGTTTCAGAAGTTTCGCGACCTTTTCTTCGAGAGAAAGACCATTCAAGAGGCTTGATATTTGGTCCATAGCTGTAATAAACAATAAAAGATAAGGGTAAAGAACAAAGGTATCGGTATTTATCAATCCTTAATGATCTTATAGACGCGTCATTAATACAACAAATCGTAAAGGTGACTGAATGAACTGTTTGACTTGTTTGCCTATACGGTAGATTGAAACATTGGAAAATTACCTACCAAGTTGCACAGATTAAGTTTATCGATTGACCACATCAAGTGTTCGAGTTACGAACGAAAGCACAGGAAACAATTTCTTGCAACCAAGAGAGAGGAATTGCAGCAAATTGATATGACCAATAACGTTAACACTATCACATCTGCATTGTTGTTTCTGCGCCAAAAAAAAATAGTCCGTTAGGAAATTATTATCCGCAACACAACCAAGATGATTTGCGAAAATTCTGAACTAAAACCTAGTAAAATAACCGGAGCTATTACTAGCAAAATCACCTATTATTACAATGCAAAAATGAATGCTTCTAGTGGAAGACAAAGGAAGAGCAGTGATATGGGTTCAATGCAAAAGACTGCGTATCGCTCATTGTTAACTATGTCGTGAAAAGAGAAGCTATTCATAAGCTCGAAGCCCGTGTCATGACATAATAAACCTTAAGTAGTTATACTTACATCTATATTGTTAACTTCTTTATTTATTGCCTTTTACAATTTTCACGATAGGCTATTGTGCGAAATCAACCTCAATGATGCTGAGATAATTGCAAAACTCCGGACGGCAGGTGCGTGCGGTGAGGGTCGAAAGGGTTATTACCCTTTCTCGAGCCAACGCGTTCACCACCACACTGCGATTCCTTCGTTTCGCCTTTCCTTCTCTATATCTATATTTTTTGTGTTCGGATTTACATAACTTCTCTATGAATGATTTAACTACGATTGGCACTAGTACAATGAACAGCTAGCATCTATCATGTAAACCCGAAAGGACACGAAAATCACTAATACAAAGATTATCGAGTGGAACTGCAATCAACAATCTTGTCCTTGTTCTGATTGGGAAATGAATGATCAAAGACGAAGAACAGCACTCCCACAATTCGTTTTTCGTAAACTTCTCCATGCAATCAATGAGATGTATCGCCAATGAACTTTAGATTATTCAACACGACCACGAAAAAGATAGCAAAAAAATGTTACAAAAAATTTTGAATATGACAGGCTGTCGGTAACTATAAACGCAAACTGATTCTACTTCTTATTCTGACACACTTCTGAGTGAATTGAACTCCTAATCACACAATGGAGCTAGATCGTATTGGTTACTCATCGTCAAGCAAGTAGAGAAACACTACATTCATACCTTCTTCAGAAGAAGTAGAACGAGGGGGCTTCATCAGAATTATCCTCGATAATCTAAACTACGGATCCACATAGATAATAGTTCTCCTGAACAAAAACTGGATAATGCTGACCAGTTGCCACTAAACACACATTAAATAAACAGCGAGAATAGAATCGCAAGAGGGTGCAGGTCACGAGCAACGGCATCAGTGTAACGCTGTGAGGGAAGCACATCCCGCATCGATCGGGAAAACCCAACAAATCAAAAACGGATTTTATCTTCGTGAAACACTGGGCGATAGCGTAATTGAAGACGGAGAGTAACTAGAATAACCGGTACTACAAGGATACTATGGTCACACAGAATTCAAACACTGGGATAAGAAATTGGCTTCAGCTTACGAAAATTCTAAACTAGAACTTGAACATTTCAGCATGATACTTCCTTTCTTTCGAAAGAACATCGATAAATATATGATCCACAGAAATGAAAATAAACAAAATACGATAGAAGCTCGAGAATTAAGGAAAACGAGGTTGAAACACACTCACAGACATGAAAAAAAGGCCGGATGAGAAAGATAAGAACAGTATGAGGTACACAAAAAGGTATTTGGACAACGAACGGTACTAAATAGTGAAAAAAAATACAAGTAATCGTGCAGATCTAATCCATATCTGAAGAAAGAACCTGTCCTCGAGACATATCTTTCCTCGAGGAACGAAGAGTGCTACGACGCTGTTTAATTTCGATAAGCAACACATCATCATCTGGCCCTCGATAATCATCATCTAGTCGACTTTTCTTATTCCTTCGAGTTCCTTCTCGAGATCTGCAAAATATTTCTTGGTGTCGGGAATTCGCTGAAGGAAAATGAAAATTGGGATTTCCCCAGGTCGTAAGACAATTAGTAGAAATATGAGATGGACTTGAAATTAAACCGATATCTTTCCATACGATTATATGACTTGCAAAAAGATCAAAGAATGTTACCACTATAGTGCTGAACGAGAGATGAAAGCGTAGTGGTAATATAGATATCGTAGGATACACGCTAGCGCCGCTAGTTTAGCCCCGTGCCGGGGCACCCATGCCCCACCATTCGTACGGGGTCCGCAAATCGTTACGAGTTTTGTGGGACGAGCTCAGCTCGTTCCATAAAGACCGGCAACCGCTTATAGTATAGTGACTGGAAATGTTTTCCCTCCAAAAAAGATAAAATATTGGGTGTTGGCCGATTCCTGAGAGATGTACCATGTCTCTGACTTTACCAAACATCATAAAAGATAAAGGATAAAGCTCTCAGCGTTGATAAATCCCTGAGGGATGTGCCATGCATTCAACTTCATTAAGCATCGTTTGGAGGTGACTGAATGCATATTTGGCCTTTACAATAACTCGCCGCGGCCTACCGATGTATCGAGCTAGTGCTGCTATCTTCCCAGACAAGCCTGATACAAATTTGCCCACCCCGGAGAGATGGAAGGACGGGCCATGGGCGTGAGATCGATTCCACGTGTGTTGCCCGACTCCACCGACCACTGCGTCACAAGCGCCCTACCGAGCATCATAGAGAGGATTAAATGGACATTTGTCATATAGAACTATTACAGTGGGGCTTACTAATGGAATTTCAACGTTTTTATCTTTCTGTACAAGCTTGGTAGTAATTTGTCGACCAAATCAAAATTTAGTAAACGTAGTGCGCCGAATGAAACCAGAGATCGGTCTAGTGTGTATCGCAGGGCATGGCTATGCCAGGGAGTAACAGCACGACTGGCATTCGGCGATACTCATGAGGAATACAAAATCCCGAAGTCGCCGAAAACACACGCAAATCCGAAGAGTTTGCAGATGATGAACCCGATACAGCGAAAACAATGAAAAAAGAGCTAGAATCTGCAGAATACGTGAGGTCGAGTCACATGAAACAGGTAGAAAGAAATCATAGATGCACAAATGATTTTTTGTACTCAACAAAAATGACTAACATTAGTATGAATGTTAAATATTTTGGGAAACAAGAGAAATTTACACAACACAGAAAAACAAAAAGTAATGAGAAAATTGAAGCTGCTCCACTTACTTTGCCTCCGCGCATGGTGTCAAAACGAGTTCCTGGTTGGTTCCATTATCGAGAGATGATCCTTGAAGAAATTTAGCTCAACATAAAATTAAACTACGACTTGAAACTACTACTGTTTAACAAAGCACCACCTTTTGCCGATGTTAAATGACCACGTATTTCCATGAGCTCTGTTTTGAGTATGGAGCAGAAAAGGCTTGAAGGAGATTTGAGATGATTCAAATCATTAGCAACAGGCTTCATTTCCTAAGGATTACGAAGTTCACTTTTGATTTGCAGATAAATTACTGCCATAATCTTAGCATTAATTCTGTAAAGACAAGACGACTCGACAAGCTAACTTGAGAGTTTTCATTAAAAATCCCGTCAGGTTTATTCCGGATAATTGTTGAAGGACGTGGTTTAAGTTCTGCTAGTGGCAAGTCGTCCTCGGGAACCCAAAGCCCTGGAAAAGATCTGTTTACAAGTGCTGATTCAAAACAGGACCATTTGGTTACTATACACAATTTGCACATAGATCTTACTCAATGCTAATACCTTTAAAAAGTTCCAATAAGCTTCCATAAACAGTTAATGAATTCCCGACAAATACATAGGAATATGACGGCTAATGACAACTGCTTACGGAGTTTCACATCTCGATATCGTTAAGTTCAGCACTACACGGGGCTTTGTTGTACAAGAAATACTGATCAGAAGAGTAAAGGTGTACACAAAAACCTCTTCGCGGTCGAAGCCTCATAGTGAACACGGTTCGCTCTCCAGACGAAGACTCATGGTCGTATGTTCGTGTTTTAGGGGTATACTCCACATCATCGTCGCTTTGCGATGGTTGGATAGCGCTAAAGCAGTCAGTGCATAAAAGCTAACGCAAAACATATAGAAACAAATCAGGAGGAGACCGTCGGGAAAAAAATGACCAAAACTGTAGAGGAACTTTCATTTCAATAACGCGCAACTGTTTAAGCCTCAACCTTCTGCGGTGACTTAGACGTGGCGTGCTGAACTTCAGAGGTGATATATTTTCGGTCAAACCACGCAACGTACTTCCTTCAGAATCACTGTGCCTGTTAGCAAATGTACAGCTGACAGGTTGGACAGAACTAATCTGGAAATGGATAGAGGTTCTCTAAAGTGTCCAAGCATTTTGCAGTAGTTAGGTCACCTCTTCTGGGTCTGAATCGCTTGGCAATTCATACACATCATGTAATTTCGATGGTGTAACCATAGGAGTAATGAACACATCACCAGGTGAACGATTCTTATCCGCAAGTACACGAAGAGAGACTGGATCATTCTTAAAAACTGATCTGAAACACTTTTTCGTAAATAATTCTGAATGAACCAATCACTAGGATAAAATATTTACTCGTACCTCGACAGATTTTCCTTGCCATTTATCTCATTGGCTGCTGGAGACTGTGGCTGAAAGAAACATACAGAAGAACTGATAGCCTACTATTTTTCTGGAAAACCATGGCGAAGAAGTCACGAAATGCAAACCGTGACAGAGCTCTCGCCATACCCTCGTGATTCGCGATAATTTCTGTGGGTCGGGGAAACATGACCAACTTCAACTATATCCATGAGAATTACAATAGAGTTCCAAAATACGCTGCTAACCTTGGACAGGATGGAGGTGTGGACCTGCTCAAGGGCTGCTGCATGCGTTGAGACGTCCTCGTCATCGCTGAACACCATCGACATCATCTCCTGACTAAATACAATGCCCTCTACCAAATGTGCCCTCTGGCACTATGGAAAATGACATACACAACCTGCTCAGCACCTCGCTACTCTCTGCAAACACCGGACGAACACCCGCTTCACCGACCGCCGTGCACGCCCTTTTTAAAGGTCTCCACCCTTGAGCACAACTACAGTAGGATGGACCTGTTGGCGTGACTGCAACGGCGGTCGCGCAGCGTGCCGCCTCACGTCCTCATCCGTGATCGTTGTCCTGGAATGGTGTTCTCAAGGGCTTCCATCTTAACCTTCTTACTTGTTCTCAAGGAAAAGGGGTCTAAGGATGACTTATTTTCCATGTTTGCGTTGTTGCATTGTGATTTCATGTACGCCATATTCCTTAGGGACGTTGGTTTCGTATTATTGATGAGTTAACACAAGGTTGATAGGAAAGTTTATTCGGCTAGCGTTTCAGCGCCATCGCATTCTTCAGAGCCAGATTGATCCGATTGCCAACAGTTCTTCCTTCTTCCGGTGAGAGTCTTCGTGATCACACCGAGTCGAATCTAGTGAAGCGCCGCCCAAATGGAAAGAAGGAACGACTGTGGACAATCGACTCGGATCAATACGGCCCTGAAGAAGGCGAAGACGTCGAAACGCTAGCCGAATAAAGTGTCTTGTCAACCGTGTGTTAGACTCCGAGGTTAAAGGAATTCCGGTTTTTTGAAATAGCTATTTGTTTCATTAGACAACTCTAAAGGAATTTTCAGGCAATGTAACCTTTGTAGTTGCTACACATGGCTTCAAAGTACTTACCAAGAGAATGTTCGAGAGTAGATGATAAAGGGCTATTCAGCCACAGTGATGCTGAGATTTTTGCTAAATTCCGGACCACAAGTGTCCTGCGATGGGCAACGAACGCGCTGTTACCCTTTTGTAGGGGCTAACACGTTCACTACCACATCATGCGTGTCCTTCGTTACGCCTGTCTCTCAGCTATTGATTTTGGAATTTTACCGTCCTTTCTTGTCATATTTCCTCATTTTCGTACACATGTTATTCGCAATGTCTTCACTATTCAAAAGTCCGGATTAGTCATTCTTTCCTTAATGGGAGGACGGGAAGAACCGTCGTGTAAGGATTTTGGAACAAGGTCATGATAATTACTTGGATGGCCCTCCTCACCAGTTGTGAGCCCCAGCATGATCTCCATTTTTTCGGAGTTTTGCTGCCTTAGACATTGTAGTTCCTTGGGGTGCCGAGATCAGCCTAGCCAAAGTCTACCCCACAAGGCCATGTTAGAAGAAGAAAACGTTTGAGAACGTATTCTATGAATGAACTAAGTTAGCGTTCTGCCGACTGACGCAGGTTTACGAGTGGAAACATGCATTGCAGCTTGAAGATCGCTCCGTGCCAACACATTCGGCCGCTAGGGTAACGCCTCCACGCACGTCGCTAACCGGCTTACTTCAACCATCCGATTAACATTCAACGTTGAAGCCATTTTTTTTCATTTTTAACATTTTTTCTTACTTTAGGATTTTCTGTGGTCTCATATTCTCCATTCGCTGAAAGGTTTGACGAGTTGCTGGTTTCTACGACCTCCGTGTAATTCAGGAAAAAATTCAGATGAAAATTTGCGAGCCTTTGCATGGATGTTCAAGAACGCTATGGTATTCCCTCCTGTTTTGTGACGAAGATATCGATTCTTTACAGTGACAATGAATAAGCGAAGCAGAAGGCTGTAACTATAGTGCTGAGTCCTTCATCGAATGCTTGATAGAATTCGTCTCGCAACTTTTCACTGTGACAGACGTTCGTAATGTAGTGTTGCCTATCATATTTCCTAATTAGAATATACATTTGTTGCACAAGCACCGTAAAGGTTGTATCTCGTTGTCCTACTTCACATCGTCTTACTACTCATTGCGGCTGTGTTGATATCGATTTTACGTCACTGCGCTCCATCGTGATGTCAATACGGTAGTTGAGTCCTTTAAACTGGACGCTTACGTTTTGAGGTCGTCCGATAGTCGCGGCCTGCGAGATCCGTTCCGTGTCGTTTGGTGGTGTCACTAAACTTTCTGCATTCTCATCTGGGTTTCGCTTAATATGTTAAGGCGTGTTGAGCGTTTCCTATTAACGAATCAAAAGCATTGGTTTTGCTGCAATTTTATTGTAAGAATGATTATGATGATGATTTCATGATGTTATGCTGTTGTCTCTTATGTTCATTCCAGTTTTCCCCGCTTAGATGGACGTGACATGATATAACGTTCACCTCACTTTTATTCCGTTTATGAAAATGTTTCACAGTTGAAATGTCACGCGGTGGTCGTACGGATAACGGAAGCGCAAGAAAACGACGTAACGACAGGAGTCGATCTCGCAGTCCACAGAAAGGGGATCCGAAGAGAATTGCAGGTATGATTTATAATTCTTTTTCAGGAAAACAACCAAAGCTAATCTGTGCAGAGGAGAATATATGTTAGGTCATTTTCAGGGCTTAGTACGTCCTAGCTGTTTAACATTTTATTGTAACTCATCAGGTGACGAACTTCTAATATGTTCTAGGATATTTCATCTGAATTGGTGTCAAATGTCCACAAAAAATATGAGCGTTCGAGCTTGCTCGTTGGCTTATCTAATTAACGTTTCCAGGCTTTAGTATATTTCGTGGCTACGTTGATGCTGAATCCATTTTGCTTTTTTGAAAAGTAAGCTTGATCAAAATGCGTGGAGGCAGCCATTGTTTTCTGAGTAAAGCCGTCTTTGAGGGTTTCGTATTCGTTATTTCCGAATATCCATCTTGTTGAATGAGATCACGCGAAAAGCATATGATATGTTGTTAACTTCGTTCCATTTCCCATGAATTTCGTTCCATAGAGAGTGGATCGAGATTTAGCTCTAGTTAAAGTCTCGAGTTGAATTTTTTTTTATCAGGTGGTTTATCAAGCAGAAGCAAGTTTGAAGCGTAGAAGAATTCGGTAATAAAAAAGGTATTGGGAATACATTAGTTTTAACATTCCTAGATGTTGTGGGTCGTCTTGCAGATTTGGTCTTGTATTATTTTGTTTTAGAATTTGATCGTGTAATAAGGTCGGCTCTGTTGGAAATTCTGGAGCCAACGCGATCCGTTTTCTGTTAGCAGTGATGAATGGAATTGTTCCGTTTAAAGCTCGCTTGTTTGAAGCTTTAGGTGGACGAGATGGCGACAGACGCAGTGGTGCGAACGATCGTATGGTGTTTATCACCAATCTTGCCTATGAGGTCCGTTGGGTGGAGCTGAAGGACATTCTGCGTGAGCACGGTGGAGAGGTTCGCCATATTTCCTCCTTCCCATTTCATGCGGACCATGCGGAGTTGTTGATTGCGTCTTTCGTCGAATTCACAATGTTAGGGCTAGGTTTCAGCACGTAATCAGTTTCTCTTGTTCTTTGTCTTTATCATGCCTTCCTTAATTAGGAAACGTTTCTGACTGATGGCTATGTCATTGATTTCATATATATTTGGCAAATTTTACGACGACTGCAATTTGAATCTTCACCATAAGCGATGTGTTCGATTACCAGCACTTCGTCAACTATCACGTCTAAGCGCATATGCATTCTCATAGCCCACTTCTTTGGAAAGTGGTCGCAGGTTTTGCTACTGGTTTGCTTGTCGTGTCAAAATAAGTTTAGGTTGTATTTGTCGAGCTGTTGGAAGATCGCAACGGACATCCGAAAGGGAACGCTATCGCAGAATTCAAGACGAAGGAAGGTGCCACAAACTGCATTAAAAATCTCGACGGTTTCGAGATCCGCAAGAGAAAAATCATTACAAAGTTGATTCGCGTATGTTCTGCTCGTTTTTTGATCATTGGACTATGTGCTTTCTCCTTGATCTGAAAGATCCTCTGAGGGCAATGTACATCTAACGTCGTTGGTTCCTCCATTACTGTTTGTTGAACATGTCCAATCAGAACGTCGGTCTTAGAGGTGTATACATTCACACTTAATCTTGTATCTGATCGTAGGATTTTGCACCCACCCAACTATTTCCGGCTTTGACGGGATGTTCTCGAAGACATAGGGCAGCCATTCACATTGGAAAGAAAACTATCTTAGTGATATTGCACAGAAAACGACCATGACGAGTTAAAAAACATTTTTGGCAAATGAATGTTTTTTAACACAAGGTTGGATTAGTTTCGTTGGAGTTAGAGTAATATGGATTCTCTTTAAACATAATGATGTATGTAATATTCCTAGTTTTTACTTTGTAATTGGAGTGAAAGTGGCGCGTGTAGCGAAGCGGTCAGGGGGGTGGGACTGCAATACATACGCGGTAGATCTCCGGGCTCACCAAGCCCTCCATCCCTCTGAAGTCGGAAAATTGGTGCCAGACTTTTCTGGGAGGAAAGCAGCACTGGCTCGATACATCGGTAGGCCACGACAAGTCATCGTAAAGGCCAGGTATGTATTCAGTCACCTCTAACGATGCTTAATGAAGTCGAATGCATAGCGCATCCCTCAGGGATAGTTCAACGTCGAGAACTTTATCCTTCACTTTTTTTAAATTGAGGTCAAGAACTACCAAGTTGTCAAACTCTGGTGGAATTGTTGGATCATTTTCTGTGCAATTTCGCTTCCAAACAATCCACTCCTGTTGCACACATTTGAACACCCTCCCACCATACTATCATAAAATTGGGTTAAGCTTTATGTGGTTAGTGGACCCGTGAATGAATAGAGTTAGTTCATTAGTAATCTATCAACTCTTGTGTTGCTGCCTAACATCGCCAGGGAATGGTTGAGGAACCCCTTTCACTGTGCACAATTGTAGACATTGCCAAAGGGAACAGATTTTCAGGACCCTGTTGCGTTTCTTCGCAAGGTACAGGAGGAAACAGGTATCGATTATCTTGCAAAATGCGGAGGGAGTTGGCTTTCACGAGGGCGTGGTGATGAACGTCCAGCTCGAACTGGTAGCTTCGATCTATTCGGATTGAGTCCTGAATTTCTTCGCCAACACAACATCGAACCACCATTGTGTGACCGCGTTTTCATCGCAAACGTACGTTTTTTTGTATCCATAATATGCTTCTCTAGAAAATCTTTGTGGTGAAATTTCCAGTACTAGTTCTTTGGAATTTGGATTCTAAAGGTAACTGTTTTCACTTTGACTTGAAAGAAGCCTTGTGGGATGTTGGAGTGATTTTTTCCGATTGTCGGTAAAATTTGGTTGTGGTTTTTTGATAACTACTGGTAATTTTTCTGTTGCAAGAACAGCTCAGGAGATGAGAACTCGTTAGTTCGATAGAATTTTACAGTCGCTCTGCAGGTATAGATGGTTTTTATGGTATATTCATTCCATTTTAAAACTGGAATACAACTGCCACGACCGACTTTCTATTAACCTCGGCATTGATCAATTGATTTTCTTCGTATTTTTGTTGAGCAAACATTATACATTATACTTCCACGTGATTTCTGTGCGGTTGGTCTCTACGTGACATACTTAGTGGAAACCTCATAGAAAGCGGCTCTGAAGAAGGCGAAATCCGCCGAAACGTCAGCTTAATCGTGAACAAAGAATAGTAACACCTCGCGTTTGCTCAACAAAAATACGAAAAAAATCACTGGAATACAAATTTACGGAAAATTTGAAATTTGAATTAACACGTTAAAGTTTCTCACACAAGCAACCGCACACGCATGATAGGATACCTGTAGTGTCCTGCTCTACGAAATCTCGATTTTTAACTCGCTTCATGCTCTAAATGACTTCATAGAAAAAGGAGGTGAAGAAGGAATCTTTGAGCTCCACATTATAACTTTGCGTTTGTAAGCTAATTTCTAGCATGTAGGTTTGAGTGATTTCTTTCACGATCAGAACGCGGGAAGCCTAGCCTCCATACTGGTCACCTCTGTAGGAGTCATACGATGACAAAATGCTGTCTAGTTCAAAGAGTGGATCAAAATTTCTGGTATCATAGTAAATTTTACTAGTTGAAACAAAAATTTTTCGGACTTGCAAGGTAAAATTGTGACTTTTCGAAGTCCTTAAAGTAGATTTGTTCCCATTTTATTGTACCAAAGCCCACATTTCGAAAAAGGAAGCAAACGGACGACATGGATTTCGTTGAACAGGATACGATGGTGTTCCCCGTTGCATCATTTATGTCCCGTTATAAGTTTTTTAAAAGTTGATTCTACACGTGTTTAGATTTGAACGATACTTGTATACTTGGGTGGTCCCCCTTCACAAGTTGTGCAAGCTCCAGTACATCTCCCATTCATTTTTTTCCTCGTAATCGTCGTTCTTGATGGTGATTTTATTCGAACGTGCTGAAGGGTGCGAGTTTCATACCGTGTCCTGTAAAACTGCTGTAGCCGTGAGTACAGCTGATGATTTTTGGTTACGAACACGTTCGCCAAACGCGTAGGTGGTCGTCCTATGGGGCACCTGCATCCTCATGGACTTCGCTTTGAAGTTCTTTTCGTCCGTGTGTTATCTGTTCTTCTCACTACATGACCGGACCATTTATGTTTCGCCAACTTGGATTGCGAAACATAAAGGTTTGAAGGATTACTACGGAAGTTTATATGCGAGTAACGCGATCGAGCAGTCTCTTCCGTCACTCGATAAAGTTCTAAGCCCTAGAAAAATGATCGAGGAATTTTCATTAGTTATTGAAAGGTCATCCTTGTTGTGAAGGTGTTGAAATAGTTTACTCTTGCAGCTGTCCTTTAACGTTGGAACTGGTAGAATATATGAAATCTTTGGCCTAGCGGGTAACATCGTTTGGATGGATCTCCATATGGATAAAGAAGGGAAAAGCAAGGTTAACATCGTTCTTCACCTTTTTCTGGTAGCCTGAGACGTTAAGCATGTTCTGCTTTGTCAAACGCTTGTTTAGGGTGTGTGCATTCTCCAGTTCTCACATCCAATTGAAGCAGTTCAAGCAATTTCTATGTTCCATGGTCAGAAATTGTATGATCGCGTTCTCGTTGTGAAAATGGACAGATACGAGAAGGTGGTTTGTTTATTAATTTATCACGCAATTTTGCTCTGTATGGATGGCTAGTGAACTTAAATGTTAAAAATCGTTCTAACGAGTTTGTTTAGAATGAGCCTGCTCGAGAGGGTGCTCTTCCGCGTGGACTAGAGGGTATTGGAGCTGGATTGGGAGCTAACGGGGCACCGCTCACAGATATCGCTTCGGTGGTTGCAGGTATTCGTGGTGATGCCTCTGTTCCCGTTGCCCCTGTTGCTCCCGTGACTGCTCAGCCTACTCAGGTATATTTGAAGTTGAAAACTTGGGTGTTCCAGTTAAAAGTATACACTTTGTAAGTAGTATGTGTTATTTTGGGTTTTTAACAGTCTACTACTTTGATATTTAGTTTCCGTCTTTCGGCATGAACAGCGGCGTTATATCTGGTGGTACAGCTTTCCAGTCAACTCCGTACTCACTAACATCTCATATTTCTAATGGTCAGAGTTTTGGAGGGTTAGGTGGGAGCCTTTGTGGAGAGGTTTTCACTGTTGTGAAAATGATCGTTGGCTCATGTAGTAGCAGTTCATATTCATATGTAGTGTAATGGTATTTCAACTGTTAACTTACCAGGTTCTGCCGTAGGCGCATTTTCGTCTGCGCTTGGTGGATTCGAAGGTAGAAGAGGTATTCCATTATTTTTTGTTTACTTGTTTATCCAGTGTGAATGATAACAAGTTGAATTGCAGAGGATTCATATGCTGGTGCCGATTCGAGAAGGGGTAAGTTACTGTGGATGTGATATATTATAGTGTGAGTAAATACCATACAATTTATAAGTTGTTTCAGACGATACTCAATTTGGAATGAACTTCAACGTTAGCAGGGTCGTCATAATAAGAAATGTTGGTTTATTATTGTCAAATTTGAGTGGAGCACTTGCAAAGGGCACAGATCCGACCTTTGTATCTTAATGTTCTTTAAGCTTCCTCCTGACTATACATGGCAAATTGTGCGTGATAGAGTTCAGCAGTTTGGGGATGCAGAATCCGTTGAAATGATTGCAGCTGGTGTCGCTCGTATTCGCTTCGCTCTAATACAAGTATGACAGTCTTTTAAGATTATCTAGCTTATATCTCACTTTATTCGTTCTATTTTAGGATGCTGAACGCATGCGTGGAGCGTTAACGGGGACTAGTGTTGAAGGCCGTACTATTTCTGTCGAGTATGTCCACTAAGACAGTCTAAAAACATAAGGTTTCCGAAAATCGTTCACATCGTGTTAAACTCCTGGATTTTTTTTCCAAATCTTGTTTGTTACACTTTATATTTTGTCTTGAGTAATTTAACCTATGTTGGTTGTAGTTGTAAGACAGCCTGATCGTCTCCCACAGCGTTTAGTTCTGTCCATCGTTGTTCCGTGTTTTCTCTTTCTTCTCTATCTCTGTTTTCAAGTGTTGAACCGTAAATGTTTTGTTCGTCTCAAACTTTGTCACTATTTCAAAGAAAGGTTTGCTCGAATATGGTTTTTTACCGGACGCAACAAGCCAAAACTCCGTTGTATTTCTTTATTATAGATACTCATGTTAGTCTAATATACCCTTTTGCTATTATATCTCAATTGTCTGTGGGGTTATTATTCGTCGAATAAAAGTGTTAATTTGGTGTTTGGAAGCAAAATTATTTTCTGCTGCTTTGGTACCAAACTAAATAGTCAAAGGTGGTTAGACTTTGCTAAGAAGTTATAACCGCGAGGGGCTGGTTAGGGTGTTGATTGCAGACTTCATAGTCGTTTTGGCCACTAAGGAAATGTTCCAGTAAACCCCATAGCTTTGTATGTGTCGAAAAGTAAGATCACACGATGGGTCTGTAGGGACTATACCATATTGATAGTGAGAATACTTTGTGTAGGTCGGATGTGGAGAACAACTCATGGGAGAAGGAGGCGTTTGGGAAAAGGGTGGGGCTTGAGTTATAATTGACTTTTGAGCTATAACCTACTGAGTTGCCAGTGCTTTAGTATTGTCGAAGAGGTAGTATTTGTCAATGAACAAGACGGTTCCCAATCTCCTGATTTTGTACTTTTTATGAATAAACAGAAAGAAAGACTACAAGGACTGTATGTCGTAGTTTTCATGTATTTCCATTACTTAAACGGTCTCTCACAGCGATTGGAAATGAAGCAACAAACAACTATTGGTCAAAAGAAATTTTAATAGGCTCAACAAATGGCTTGTATCTCCTTGGTCACCGACAGATTTTTAATAACTAAAGTACCTAGGTACATGTGCAAAAAACTTTGAATACGGGTGGTGCAGTCTCGTGGCGAACACCGTGTTGATGCGGCCACGCATCGGAATGACCAATCTTTTCATTCATCCTGGGTTGTGAAATTGGCGCCAGATTTGTCTAGGAACAGTTCTCGCCCTCCAATCCATGTGGAAATGCTCTATCCTGCCTATTCCAGGACTCCAGAGAGACCCGAATTCGACGAAATTCGTGGCGAAAACGGTAAAGTCTTCGAGCAGCAACCCAAGCCACACATGAAACTTCCGAAGACATTCGTGTTTGATGGGTGCGATGAAACGAATTGAATGCAAGAATTGCTAGGATCCGCACAACAGATGTGTAGTCGGGTAGTGTAAGGAGAAATAAAAAGACCTGAGTAATTGAGAACTTGAGACCCTTATAAACCCCACTGCTCTACTGATTTGTACAACTTCCTCAAAGTTTCGTTCTCACTTCAAATCCTGTTCTAAATTCGAGCCTTTAATACATCGAAAAATGGCTTCAAATTTTAGAGTCTTAGAAGAAATCTTGGCCGCACCGAACGACAAACCCAGTTCCATAAAATCAGCGCTTTATCGTGGTAGGGCCAGAGGTCTTTCCAATGGTCGTGCATGAGAGAACGTGGAAATTTGATCCAGAAGCCAACTGTTCAAATCTACGACGGTTTAACTTTGCCGACTATCTATCCCACTTCTATATTGTTCCATTCCAGTCTCCACATGACATTCTAGAGAGAGGCTTTAAATAATTTTGATGAAATGATGCCACAGTGTCGGGTCCCTTCCCTCTTTACTTCAATGATAATGTTGTTATGTCGTTGTAGAATGGTGATATACTGGTTGTGAATATGTTATACATACGCGTACGGAGGACTTGGCCGTTCAGACTTTCCATCTCCACTTCGGTCTGAACTGAGTCGAAGGCTCTTTTTAACTCGATGATAAAGTGCGGCGATGTGGTCGCTTTACTCTCGTGATTCTTGATAAGCATTATGAACTTAGATACTTACTGTTCTTTTAATTTCGATCCCTAGAACCCTATGTGAAGTTCTTCAGACGTTGTCCTGGAATGATTCGTCGCGTTGGAGGCGCCAGTGGCGATGGCAGCGTAAATGATTTGATTTTCTCTCCAGAACTTACCAAATTCCATATGGAACGACTCGATCGACATAGTCCTCGTAGTACTTTTATGTGGGAAACAAACCGTGGGAAACAAGGATTGTGAAATCTAGTATCTGTGTAGAACTTTTCAGCTGTAAACGTCTTATCCGACTATTTGGTGATCTAAGGGAGTAAATACCATTCCTGATATGTTATCATTTACAATGCACCAACGATCCCGACTCCTAGTGTTGTGCTGGAAATCATTCATTCTCCGCTGCTATAAACGGCTTTTAATGAGCGTATTTTAGGGTAGCTTGTCGAGGTTTTAAGTCATAGACGAGGAACATATTTGTTGCAAGTGACCTTTAACCGCCTTTCAGTACTTCCTAAACAGTTGATTGGCAGGCCACGGGCTCTATTGAATCGTAGAATACAATCCGTATAAACGAAAAAAACGCATTTGGGATTCTTCGGTATGATAGGAAAGAAATGTGAATGCATTTGATGAACACCGAGTTCTTGAAAAATCTACAGGACGATGGAGAACATGTTGAGACCGCTGGCTCTACGATTACGGAAACCATGCCTCCGTTTACCTAGGTTGGCCAGTAAGTATAGAAATCAGGATGGAAGAGAATGTATTCAAGACAACATCAAGAGCTTCGTTCGAACCTCTCAGAGAAGCTATCAACCGACTGATGAATTCAAAACTTCGCGTTCACATCTTTGGCGTGGCGGTCTTCCACCTATTGCTCTTCTGTGCATTTGAATAGGTTACCAGCTCAGCTACATGGAGCCTTTTACATACCGTTCTCTAAGCGCTTGGACTATAAAAGATGAAAGAACGATGAGGTTCTTGTCGTTAGTCAATCCCTGAGTGATGCGCCATGCATTCGACTTCACCAACCATCGAAGAGTTGATTGAATATGCATGCATGTATCTGGCTTATACAATGATTTGCAGTAGCTTAGCTATGTATCAAGTCAGTGCTGCTATCTACCTAGACAAATCTGATACTAATCTCCTGATACCGGAGGGATGAAGGGCTTGGTGGACCGAAGGTGTAGGATCGAATCAACGACACGTGTATATTGCTGGGCAGTTCTAAGCGCTGAGATACACGCTCACCTATCACTTGGACCATCTATGTCTTTTCAAATGTAACTAGGTTCCAATGTGTAGAGAATCTTTTCGACATCGAAATCTACAAAGGCAGCCGTTGTTGTGGTTGATCTGCTGAGTATCTCAACCTCAATCACTACTGGTGGAGATAACGTCTACCTTCTTTGAAATTGGCCAATTATAGATGTGGAAAAACAATTCAGAAAGGTCCATGTACAAAATAGTATTTCTAATCCGTATCCATATCAGTGTGAGTAGTCTTTCATTGATCAGTTTACAGTTAGGTTCATTCCTTAACTTCACTACTTTATGGTACGTTGTTCAATTTTGTTTCGGTTGTACGAGCTGTGGTTGCATAACCGCAGTTATTTCATGAGTTTATTGTTCATTCCGTTAAGGCTGTGTTTGTCCGCAAAACTATTGAGCAGGATGAAGATACTGTCTCGTTCACATATCGCTTTAGGATGCCAGGGTAAGATCGTTGGATTTGGGAAACTATGCAAATTGAGCAAATTTTCTGTGTTTGCAGGGAAGCGATCCTAAGAGAGGACAAAACGCAGATGTTGAGCTTCGAGTAAGTTCTAGAAAAGGCGTTCACTTTACTGCTGCAATGCTTCGTTCCAGGATTAATACTTCAATTCATTGACGAGCCACTTGTAGACCACAGTTTTTCCGTTTGATTCTTGGCGCGACAGATTTTTCTGTAACATTCGGGCTTAGATTTTTGCCCTGCACCGATTGTTTCTTCCACCGACATAACTGGTATGGCCCAGAAATCTTTTTATGCTTGCTTCAGTCCTACCTCTAGTATATATTTAACAGACGCCTTGTTGTCAGCTATCAAGTGATGTTACAGAATCCAACATTTTTGGTCAATTATTTTTTTCTGGGGTCTTATAGAACACTTCAGACTTTGCTATAGAAATGTCCTAATCCAGGATATAGTTTATTGATGGATTAGGTAAATTATTAGTTTGAAAACAACTCGAGCAAATTTGGTAGTTGGGGTAGTCCAACATGTTTTATTGTACACTGTAATTGTAATCCTGACTTCTTAATCAAAAAGTTTAAGGTAATTCTTTTCATATTGAAGAAGGCACATCTGTTTGTACTTGAAAAACCATGCAGAAGAAAATACATGTGTACTACTTCATACTTCTATCACATTACTTCTTCATTCAAGTTCATAAGCACTTTTGCCTAGATATTGGCAAAACTCAGACCCTGGCAGGATTCTAACCCGCATTTATCCTTTTCGGGGGCTTGCGTGTTACCTACTGCAACATTGAAATCCTTGCTTTGCCTTTCCCTAAGCCAGTTTTTTTACCCTAACAGCGCTATCAGTAGTCACTTGCAAGCATCATTGTAGTTGTATTTCACATAATACCCTGCCATGTATGAGTAATGCGGAGCATTTTTGCTTAATGATACGTTTTAGGGTGAGTTTAGCGCATTGTTCAGAGGAGCCCTTGAAATTACATTATTTCTGGTTCGATCTTATGCAGAAGGTCCACCGAATCCCTTACCCCTCCAAGGTTGGCGAATTAAAACCGGGCTTGCCTGGGATGAAAAGAATTACTGACTTGATATATCCATAAAACATCGCAAGCCATTATATAGGTCAAATATACATTCAATCACTTATGCTATGCTGATGAAGCCGAATGCACGACACATTCCTAAGGGATTGATCAAGGCTGAAATCTTTATCCTTTGTTGTTTT